CATCCCCAAAACAGCCCCAAAATACCCTGGGACACCCCAAAAAATAACCCCAAAACAGGCCAAAATCAGCCATGGGACTCCCCAAAAATAACCCCCAAAACAGCCCCAAAATACCCTGGGACACCCCAAAAATCACGCCGAGACAGCCCCAAAAATAACCCCAAAAACAGCCCCAAAATACCCTGGGACACCCCAAAAATAACCCCCAAAACTGTCACAAAACCACCCACGGGACACCCCAAAAATCACCCAAAAACACCTACGGGACACCCCAAAAAATAACCCTGAGACAGCCCCAAAAACAGCCCCAAAAACTGCCCCAAAAATAACCCCAAAATACCCTGGGACACCCCAAAAAAACCCCCAAAACAGCCCAAAATCAGCCATGGGACTCCCCAAAAATAATCCCAAAACCAGCCCCAAAATACGCTGGGATACCCCAAAAACAGCCCCAAAAATCACCCCAAAACCACCCACGGGACACCCCGAAAACAATCCCAAAACCAGCAACAAAAACTGCCCCAAAATCCCCCCAAAAAAGCCCCATAATCCCCCAAAATCACCCCAAAAATAACCCCGGACACCCCACCCCCTCCTTGGGGACAGTGCCACCCCAATTGGGGACAGTGCCACCCCAATTGGGGACAGTGCCACCCCAATTGGGGACAGTGCCACCCCAACTGGGGACAGTGTCACCCCAATTGGGACAGTGCCACCCCAATCCTGCCCTGGGGACGGTGCCACCCCAACTGGGGACAGTGCCACCCCAATTGGGACAGTGCCACCCCCATTGGGGACAGTGCCACCCCAATTGGGGACAGTGCCACCCCAATCCTGCCCTGGGGACGGTGCCACCCCAACTGGGGACAGTGCCACCCCAATTGGGACAGTGCCACCCCAATTGGGACAGTGCCACCCCAACTGGGGACAGTGCCACCCCAATTGGGACAGTGCCACCCCAATTGGGGACAGTGCCACCCCAATTGGGACAGTGCCACCCCAATTGGGACAGTGCCACCCCAATTGGGGACAGTGCCACCCCAATTGGGGACAGTGCCACCCCAATTGGGACAGTGCCACCCCGTCCTTGGGGACAGTGCCACCCCAATCCTGTCCTGGGGACAGTGCCACCCCAATTGGGGACAGTGCCACCCCAACTGGGACAGTGCCACCCCAATTGGGGAGAGTGTCACCCCAATTGGGACAGTGCCACCCCAATTGGGGAGAGTGTCACCCCAATTGGGACAGTGCCACCCCAACTGGGACAGTGCCACCCCAATTGGGACAGTGCCACCCCAATTGGGACAGTGCCACCCCAACTGGGACAGTGCCACCCCAATTGGGGACAGTGCCACCCCAACTGGGGACAGTGCCACCCCAACTGGGACAGTGCCACCCCAACTGGGACAGTGCCACCCCAATTGGGGACAGTGTCACCCCAACTGGGACAGTGCCACCCCAACTGGGGACAGTGCCACCCCAATCCTGCCCTGGGGACAGTGCCACCCCAACTGGGACAGTGCCACCCCAACTGGGACAGTGCCACCCCAATTGGGGACAGTGCCACCCCAATTGGGACAGTGCCACCCCAACTGGGACAGTGCCACCCCAATTGGGGACAGTGCCACCCCAATTGGGGACAGTGCCACCCCAATCCTGTCCTGGGGACAGTGCCACCCCTGTTGGGGACAGTGTCACCCCAACTGGGACAGTGCCACCCCAATTGGGGACAGTGCCACCCCAATCCTGCCCTGGGGACAGTGCCACCCCAATTGGGACAGTGCCACCCCAATCCTGCCCTGGGGACAGTGCCACCCCAATTGGGGACAGTGCCACCCCAATTGGGGACAGTGCCACCCCAATTGGGACAGTGCCACCCCAATTGGGACAGTGCCACCCCAATCCTGCCCTGGGGACAGTGCCACCCCAATTGGGGACA